GTCTGTCTTATGGGCTCCACTCCTAATGTCATATTCTACAGCCACACTGAAGAGCAACACGAATGTGTTTGTCTGAACAATTCCCAGGGGGTGAGGGAGCTGGATTCCAAGGCACCTGCGTTCTTGCATTAACTTTCTGTCACTGTAACAAAATATCTAACATACTGTCATGGTTTATGTCTGGGTGTCCCCCCAAAGCATCATGCAGTCATGGGCAGGGCTTCTAGAGTTTATGATTAATTCATGGTCCAGTGTTGGGATTATGGATGTGAGTGCTACACCCACCCTGGGTGGTTTGCATACAGTGTAAGGGAGGGAAAGAGGCTGCTTGCTGCTACTCCTCCCTTTTGCTCTTGTTGCTTTTGCTGTTTTCCACTGCCATGAACTGTTGCCCCTTGCCATGTGCCACTCTGCCTTGGAGCCAGCCACGTATGGACTGAAACTTCCACAAACTGTGAGCTAAATAAACCTTTCCTTCCTTAATTCTGGGCTCCAGGTGTTTTGTCTCAGCAACAAGAGAAAAGTAACCAACACACATACGTAATTTAAAGGAGAAAGGATTATTTTGGCTCAGGGTTTCAGAGGTTTCAGTGCACGGTTGGCAGCCTAAAGGCAAAAACATCACAGTAGAAGAACGTGGCAGAAAAAAGCTGCTCAAGTCATGGCATCCAGCGAGCACAGAAAGGGGAAGAGCCAAAGAGAAAGAGGCCAGGGAGCAGGTCTAGTCCCCGAGGTCGCACCCTGTGCCCTAAGCAGACCCACCCAGAAGCCCGTGTATGGATCTCTTAGGTGTCTCTCAAGCCAATGTAGCTGACAGTCAAGATTAACCCTCACAAAGTCAAGATCATCCGATCCCGTTCTCAAATGCCCACTAGTGGCAGAGCTGCTTCATTCCCTTAGACCACTTACCTTAGCACTGTTACATTAGAACTACCACATTAGAGAGACTTAAAACATTTTGTTCCTTTAGCCACTGATCATTCTGCCTTTTTGTTAAGATCATTTAACTGTATCCCTACTAATGCAAAACAGAAAAAAATCATTTAAAAATATGGGAGAACATTTGACAACCCAGATGACCATACATAAAAATGTTATAGATCAGAGAGTTTATAGAGCATTTTATATTTATCTGTGCATATCATGAAGAGGGTTGAATTGCCCCACAGAGATATGGGGCCAGCATGCTTATCAATTTTAATTCTGGTGTTTGCTAGAATAAAAATCACTGTTTTATTTTGGTGCATATGACATCACCAATTTCTTTTTTTGTTCTGAGACAATCTCTCACTATATAGCTCAGGCTGGACTTGAACTCACTATGTAGTACAGGCTGGTCTCAGACTCAGGGATCCTCTTTCCTTAGCCGCCCGAGTGCTGGGGTTACAGGCATGTGCCACCAAACTTGGCACATTGCCAAATTTTAGGGACCTTAGAAACACTTGAATCTCTACTTTTTGATAGATAGGTTTGACCCACTTATATTTATTATAATTACTGATATATTTGAACTTATTTTTACCATCTTTCTTTTTGTTCCCTATTTCCCCCTCTTTTCCTGTCTTTTATTGGACCTAAACATCCTATCCCACAGCTCACTCCCACTTGTTTCGGAAACTCTAGATTTCACTCTATTCTTTTAGTAATATACAGTAGTTAGCTTGAAATGTTTAACATATATTATACATCTCCTAGCAGAATATAAAATTACTCTGTTGCTCTCCTAAAAATGCCTGGTTTTATCCCCTGTCCAATCCTCCAGAGCCACCCATTCAATACGCGCAAGCTCTGCTCAAGTTAACCTTAGTGTCTTTGTCGGAGCTGAATCCGTGAATACCTAACCTTCTGGTGTGTCCGGGCTGCACTGAGTGAAGGGAAGTTCTGTGGCTGGACTACATCTGAAACGCATAATATAGTTAATGTACATAAGTAACAAGACATCCGCTCACAGATATTTTTATTGTAACATTTACAGACGAGGGCAGCGCGACGTGTGTGTGGCCGTGCAGCAGGCGGAGTGAGCATTGCGTGGCGCCCGCCCCGCCCAGCGTTCCGCTCTGCTTTCCAGTCTGTGCTCAGGCATCCCACAGTCAAGTCGTAAAAGATACTGCTAAAAATCACCCCTCACAGCGCTGCTAGTGGTCCAGGGCTGCATGTAGCCCACCGGCCATGGGTTGGACACACCTGGTATTATCACCTTTTAAAAAGCATTTTTATAATCAATAGTTAATTAAATGTACTTATTTTTAAAAACACTACTGACAAAATTCCTGAGAATCTCTTTTCTGAGATAACTGAGGTCTCGGTGATTTCCTGACCCACAGTAAGTGCTGAATAACTGAAAATCACCCTTCCCAAGCCCTCCCCGCAGAACAGTTTTTTGACACCCGCAAGCTGGATTGCGGCGTTCAGCGTCCACGGACTCTTCTGGGTAGGATCCATTCCGTGGACAGTTGTCAAACGCTAACCTTTCCTTATGCTAATTTTCTGAATACTGTACTTGACAGTGTGGCAAACTAAACAGGCCAGGATTAAATGTTCTCATTTCTGAGCCGTGAAGTGTTGAGACTGACCAGGAAGTGGAGGCAGAGAGTCTGTCCTTCGGGAGGAGAACCAGCCGGTCTGCTGCCGCCGCTCTTGACTGCGGCTGGAAGAACTGTTCAGGCAGCTGTTCAGCTGCTCGCCCAACTTGAAAGGACCCTGCCAAATGGCAAATATTTTTCATAACGACATTTGACTTTTGCGAAGAACATTAACAGTGCATTTTATTTAGCTCCAGCAGTGTGCCAACAGGGCAGATTTATGACTCAGCAGGCTCACAATCTCGACAGGACTGGGTGCTCATTTCCATTTTTCATATTCATGAAAAGAGTAAACGGGCTCCCAGAGGAAGTCTACACAAAACATCTCTGCAGCTAAATTATTTGTTGAAATAATACCAGATTAACGTGAGAAAATGAAGTATCTCTGCAAGAAAAGATGAAAATCTAGAAGCATCAAAGGGGAAAATGTTAAAATATTTTAAATCTAAGAGCAGTGTTACTCAGACATGTCCAGGATGGGTGCCTGTAGCAGAAATACATCATCTACTGAATCCCCTGCAAGTCAATGCTCCCAGGACCTTTGGGTTATGCTGTTAATCTATATTGTTAATTAAAATATTGACACTAAGTACTTAAAACACAATATGTTGAATTTGACAGGCTATGAACCACAGGAGGTTGAGTTAGAAATTAACAACTGTTTTTATTTAATAGTAAAATCAGAACATCACGTGTAGGCAGTACAAATGAAGAAAACACATTCTCTTTTTTTCTTTCTTTATGGAAGAAAAGTAAAACAAAATTTCTTAACAAAATAGTAGGAGAGCCAAGTGTTGGTGGCACATACCTGTAATCCCAGCCCTTGGGAGGCTGAGACAGGAGGATCTCTGTGAGTTCAAGGCCAGCCTGGACTACAAAGTGAGTTCAAGTCCAGCCTGAACTGCATAGTGAGACCCTGTCTCAGAAAGATAAAAAAAAAAAAAAAAAAGGAGAATAACAATAGTTAATACATTGCATATTGTTATCTTTAAAGTAGTTACTCAGAATGCAATATGGGCATCAAAAATTCTCCAATTAATATTTGTACAAACTTTCTTTTTCAGTGAGCTAAGAGACACTAGTTGTATAACTAGCTTGCATTTTTTTCCTTTTCCCTTTATTTCTTCCCCTCTTGCCCCCATCCTAGTTCCTTTTTCCTTTTGAATAATCTCTTCCCATTTCCCAATATCTGTTGTATATTTTAGACTGTATTTACTTTTTCAGCTTCTCATAGTAGGGAGACAATATGATGGTTACACATATGAGTCTGAATTATTTCACTTATGAGTGTGGTCTCAAGTTGCATCCATTTACCTACAAAAGTCTCAAGTTTATCCTTCTTTATGGCTGAGTAGTACTCCACTGTATAAATATACCACATTCTTTTATCCATTCCTCCACTGATAAGCATTTGGGTTGTTTCCAAGATCTAGCTATTACAAATTGTGCTGCTATAAACATGGGTGCACATATATCACCATGGTATGATTTTTTTAATTCTTCTGAGAAGATACCCAGAAGGGGAATAGCTGGGTTGAATGGGACCTCCATCCTAGCTTTTTGAGAACTCTCCATACTGATTTACCTAGTGATTGCAATAGTCTTCACTCCCATTAATAGTGGAGAAGGGTTCTTTTTTCCCCACAGCCCCTCTAGCATTTGTTATTGGTTGATGAAGAAAACACGTTCCAATGAATACACATAATTTTCTGCCTAACCTAGTTGTGTATAGGTCATATTTATGTTAAATAGCTCCCCATTCTTGATATATTTTCCCATGCACCAGAAGTTCATGCCTTTAACAAAGCCCATGGAGAAATACCCTTGCTATGCAGAAGTTTGTTCCAGTTGAGGAGAGAATAAAAGTCAGCACTAGCTACCATGGGCAGCATTTAGTGCGGACACTCTAGTCTTTGTGAAGACACAGAGATGGTCGGGACGTGCATTCTCTCTCTCTCTTTTTTTTTTTTGTTTTTGTTTTTGTGAGACAGGGTCTCGCTATGCAGTTCAGACTGGCCTTCAACTCACTTTGTAGTCCAGGCTGGCCTCAAACTTGCAACAATCCTCCTGCCTCAGCCTCCCAAGTGCTGGGATTACAGGCATGTGCTACCACGCCCAGCTGGGGCCTGCATTCTCATTCAATAAACTGGTACAGTTGGAGCTGGAGCAGTGACATTTTTGAAGGTAAACTGAGCCAAACAAAGCCATGGCCAATGGGAAATTCTTACCTACTTTTTCTGCACTGTTTATTATATGGTAATTAGATCACAAATGAGAAAGTCTAACCTGTTTCTTCAAACTGTAAAAGTATACATTCCCATAAAGTTCACATGATTTCTTGGAGTACAATAAAGTCTCGCATACTGTGTAAGGGTCACCGAGGGAGTCAGCTACAAGCCTAGTGCTCTTCTCTTTCAGAGTTACAGAACGACAGCCATGGATGACGTTTACAAGGTCACTTCCACAGAGAGGACCCAGCTGCTGGAGAGGGAGCTGGCTGTGCGGTTGAGCGAGCTGAAGTCGGAGATAGAAGAACAGGGCATCCTTCAGGGAACAGCTCATCGAGTGCACAGGTTAACTGCGGCAATGAAAAGATGTGGCCTCGGGGGCTTTACCTCCCACTGCCACCCACAGTCTCCACCAGCCCCCGCCTCTTTTCACATGCACAGTTGTCCCAAGCTCACATAAACGGGATACAACAGCAGGTCCCAGCAGGCCTGACACTGCGCAGCTTCCGAGACCTGCCGCCCTCAGGGCGGTGTGCCCAGGCCAGCTGCACTCCCTGTGGGCTTATGGTCTAGAACCGTCAAGGCAGGCTGAAGCCACGTCTTGCCAGAAAGAAGAGGCCCCATGGGAATTTGTTCTGAAGGGCTCACAGATGCTAGCATCGTAAGGGTCCCAAAGCTTGCATACAGAGCATGACTGATAAAAAAAGATTTCACTTTATCTAATTTTCTTTTAATGAGTTCGACCTTGATTTTGATGAGATATTTAAGAGGCTGAAATAATACCAGGTGTATGATAATGATTTCTGCAAGGAGATGTTCTGTTAGGAGCACTTTTTAATTTAATTTAATTT